TTTGTTAGAGGCTGAGTCGACCGCAGGGTAATAGTGCGGCTGGGAGGCATAGGTCGACTGAAAATTCCAGTGACATCATCGGGAATCGAACCCGTGACCTTCCGGCTTGTAGCATAGTGCCTCAACCAACTACGCTACCGCGTGCCCCGAGCCAATAGGATCGAGTTAAAATCCAATACATAACCTCACATCCTGTTTAACTGAGATTCATTTTAATATGATCTTCATAACTACCCCTACCCAATCATGGACACTACAACATTTCTTTGTTAACGTGAACTGTAAAGTGTAGTCACGCGCTGTGTCAAAGGGCCCAGTAAATACGATCATTAATCCAAACCCCGTCTATAGCCACATTGTATCACGTGACATTATTATTATTTATAATCTTGCCTGTGGTTCTGTGTGGGTGTGAAAACTGGTCTCTGTCATTAAGGGAGGAGCATAGACTGAAGGTGTTTGAGAACAGGGTGCTGAGGAGAATATTTGGACCGAAGAGGGATGAAGTGACGGGAGGTTGGAGAAAACTGCATAATGAGGAGCTTCATAACTTGTATAATTAGAACGATCAAATCAAAGAGGATGAGGTAGGCAGGGCATGTAGGACGAATGGGGGAGACGAGGAATGCATATAGGACATTGGTGGGATATCCAGAAAGAAAGAAACCACTGAGAATACCAAGACGTAGGTGGCTGGACAATATTAAAATGGATCTTAGAGAGATAGGATTGGATGGTATGGATTGGATTAATCTGGCTCAGGATAGGGACCAGTGGAGGACCCTTGTGAACACGGTAATGAACCTTCGGGTTCCACAAAATGCTGGGCAATTCTTTAATAGCGCAGAATTGGCGGGTCCTCAAGAAGGGCTCAGCTCCGTCAGTAAGTAAGTAAGTAAGTAAGTAAGTGTTATTTACATCGTACAGAGGTTTCCTACCTTAATCTTTTCGGACACAACTTCAGAATTTTGCGCCGTCATTCGTGTTTGTTATTGCTGACTAGTGACTTCATAAAAAATTTGCAGGTATGTTTCAATCTATCTTCACCATATTTCACATGCCTAGCTCCGAAAATTAATTAACTACCCCAACCAAACCGAAAGCTAAATGTAGATTTCACACAGCCGCCATTTTGCTGTTTTATATTCTGACTTATTATCGTAACAAAACTGGCGTATTTTAAGATTTGTTGCCATGCGTATTTTCAGGATCATAGATTAAATATTGCTCCCACCTTAGAAATCCCTCCATCCGTCATATTATTAATACAGATTGAAGGAAATTAAAAGGTACAAGGTTTTAGTGACCTAATGACATAACATCCATACCGAATTTCGCTATGATCAGAGTACTGAATCAGAAGGTGATACCGGAGACGTAATGCGTTTTCTGTGAAGTGCGAACTGAATTTATATATATTATTTAGAAAAAATTCCTTCTTTAAATCGTCATTTAACTGAGAACAAAGTTAATTTGAACAGATATACTGTGAAGTTTCCTGCTGGTGTTTTAGATTAACAAAGGGGCTACCTTGCCATGTCCCATAAGACACGCACACGAGCCTTATTGATCCCCCTGCCTGACATTTGACGCTTTTCCGAAGTACTTACCCTTTTCTGTGTTTCTCAAGACATTCAATACACAACGATCCTTCCCGTAGAGATATCAAGTCAGTGTCCTCGAAAGCATTGCAATCGTCAGCCACTTGAAGAGATTTATATTTCAGTGATTTCATACGAAATCATCGGACAATGGAACACGTCTTACAGCATTCGGAAACAGGAAACGTTATATAAAATACAGAGCCTGGCAAAAAATGTTTGTAGAAACATTTAAACATTTTTGTAACTCTTGGGTTTAGGTAATCTATTATTTCTTATTTCTTCCTCTTTTTGTCTAGGCGTGTTATGGCATCACCTCCTCTGTATGCCTTAATGGCTCAGTGCTTAATTACATAATTATGAACAGGTATAATTCTTTAGGGCCGGTCACGGTAGCCGAGCGGTCTAAGGCATGCACTGTCTTCGCTCGCTCGGAAGCCGGGATCGTGGGTTCGAATCCCACTCAGGGCATGGATGTTTGTGTGCGTTTTTCTGTGTTTGTCTACAGGTAGAGGCCTTGCGACGAGCTGATCACTCGCCCAAGGAGTCCTACCGTATGTGTAAGATCTAGTAAACTGAAGTGAAACGGAGTGTTTCATGGAGGTAGGCCTAGGCCCAAACTGGGGCTGTACCGCCGCAGGAAAAAAATAATTCTTTAGGACAGAGAGTTATCTTTTGTCACAGTGCCCATACCCATTCGACGACATAACCAGTCAACTACAGGGTGGGTGACGGATCTCCATCCCTCGGAGTAGAGCGGATTTTGGCGTCAAGCTGACCACTCACCGCCATATAATGCCCATAGTACGAATATGTGGAGCTATGCCTCCATTCTCCCATACATTTCTGAGGCGTGGTGCTTAATTCAGCACTGGAACAACTTTATCTCACCTTAGAGTCCCGTGTTCAGTACGCATGTCCTCATTGTTTTCAAACTAATGTTAAAATAAATCAAATCGAAGACTATGTTAAGTTCCTGAATTTATTTATGATTCAGCTTTGTTTAAGTTCATGTGGAACAAAAAATGCGCTAATTAGTTTCGACGTGGCGGTCAGTCCGCATTTAACAACACGAGAATCCTTCAACAAATTGTAATCGAAGATTAAATTTGGGAGGGTTTAATAACTTTAGTTGCCTCAGTCTTATTTTGCAAAAAATAAGGCAAGAGTTTCTGGCAGTCTACACGGGGGCCTACTTGCGTCTGAGAGCCCATTTGCAGCAGGTGTAACTTGCAAAATATTTTCTGAAGCAAAAAATTATCACGAACACAATTGCGAAGACAAACAAAATATATATTTCGTGGCCACTACACTGCAGTGTCCGAGATATTAAAAGGATTGATTTATATGATTCATATCGCAACTCCTGATTCATATAACTGACTCTAATCAAATTTTGTATTAGAGGCTTTTATATAAATTTGTTGAACTATTTCGGTCATCAGGAAAGCCGGAGAACCATCGGGCTGTTGTATATTTCCCATCATTGCGAGATTTTACGCTGTGCTGGTGGTGATTATGAGAAACGCCATCTTCTGGAATGTAACACACTACAGTCTGGTAGCAGTTTACCGACGTTTCGGAGGAACGTACTGCTTCCTTATTCAATGTCGGAAAGTAAGCCGCGCTGGTCGCTGTGCTTCACTGCTTGATTCTTTATTTGCTCGACTTACTCTTCGACCCTGAAGGAGGAAGTAATGCTTTCCTCCTATAGCGTTGGGAAATATACAAAATTACACGGCGTCATATCAAAGATCAGGAATCACCATACTCGCTACTTACTTCTTTCCTTGCTGCAGTTACTCTTCGACCCTGAAGATGGAAGCATTGCTTTCCTCCCGAAGCGTCAGCGAGCTTCTACAAGGCCATACGGCGTCATATTAGTGTACACGATCGCCCTATTTGCTACTTACCGCTTGCTTGCTCGGTTAACTCTTTTACTTTGAAGATGGAGACAGTACTTTCCTCCGAAACATCTGTAATCTATCAGACTACACAGCGTCTCATTCAGCAAGACGATGCTCTTCAGTACCCGACTTGTTTGTTACATCCAAAGGCGAGAGGAATTATCCTAGCAAGGAATGTTTTTAATCGCCTTATTTGGCGGCAACTTCTTCGCCATAAGTGTCGTGCGTGTAGTCTAGGTCTACCTCTGCAGGCAGAGTGTTTCAGTGCATGAAACAACTGGAGGGCTGCATAAAAATACATGTTCTCTTGTCCTTGAACGATTTACACTATTAAGCAGCACATCGGAATATCGTTTTGTCTTTTACTGATCGACCGCCAGGAACTCGGTGTTTAGCAGTAATGTGATGGTTCTACACGTGTAGTATAAGGTATACCAACATTTACGAGATGTCTTTGCTTTCGAAATTGCTTTTGAGTTTTAATTTGAATAGAGAAGGAAGATTTAAGGGCATCAGGAGTGATTACAACTGTATGGGACGCATCAGCCTCTGATCTCTGCTGATATTTATTACTTATTGGTATAGGGACGACCTACGGGCTGGACGGCCGGAGTTCGTTTCTCGGCAGGTGAAAGATTTTTCTGTCCTCCACAGCGCAAAGACCCACTCAAGGTCTCATCAGCCTCCTATCCATTGGGTACCGGGCAAGATTTCCTCGGGGGTAAAATTGACCACTCATCTCCATTTAGTAGCGCGGTCATGAATGGTGGAGCTATACCTCCGCTCCCCCATGTCTCAATGGCATAGTGCTTAATTAATTAAGAACAGGGACAACGTTACGTTAACTAAACCATAACTGCTGTAAACAGGACACAAACACTGCCTTAGACGCTTTTAAGGATGTTGAACTAGAAACAAACCCAGTGAAAATTAAGTACAAGTATTTTAAAATTATTTTTGATCATAATATATTACTTACTCACTCATGGATCTGAGCCCTTCTTCAGGAGCCGCCAGTTTTGCAGCTGCTCAAGAATTTCCCAGCATTTTATGGAACCCGAAGGTTCATTATCATGTTCACAAGTGCCCTCCACTGGTCCATATCCTGAGCCAGATCAATCCAATTCATACCATCCCACCCTGTCTCTCTAAGATCCATTTTAAAACTGTTCCCCCACCTACGCCTTGGTCTTCCAGTGGTCTCTTTCCTTCTGGCTTGTCAACCAATATCCTATGCTCTTCTTCCCCATTCGTGCTACGTGTCCTGTCCACCTCATCCTCCTTGACTTCATCAAGTTATGAAGCTCCTCATTATGCATTTTTCTCCAGCCTCCCGTCACTTCATCTCTCTTCAGTCCAAATATTTCCCTCAACACCCTGTAATACGTACTTTACACTATAGCCAATAAACTCTTCGAAAATGTGCCGAAAGTTAAAATATTTTTGAATAATGGTTACAACCCAGATTGAGAGTACTCTCGATATGTTTCAGGTAAGATTGTGCCGTTTGTGGAGCTGACCGTTGCGCATGCGTCGGTGCTTACCATCTTGGCGATCAGCTTTGAGCGTTACTACGCGATATGCGAGCCCCTGAAAGCAAGCTACGTGTGCACCAAGGCGCGGGCTCTTATCATCTGCCTCCTCGCTTGGCTCTTCGCTGCACTCTTCACCAGGTTTGTGTTCATTTTGGGATCTTCTTCTTATTGTAGGAAAGAGGGCGAAGCAAGAGGTATGAGTGGGGTCTCTTTCTAATCTTGTAAATGAATGAACTTTAGACTAACTTCCCTGCACGCTAAATACGTCAGCATGTTACAGCATACAAATAATACATTAATCTTAAGTTGTGTGTTTATGGAATTATGCGTGCATGTACGTGTGTAAGCGTGCGTACACTATGTTAACATCCCACGTACTGCTTTATGCTCTTTTATATGTATATATACGTGTATATAAGAGGTCGGCCGGTCACGGTAGCCGAGCTGTCTAAGGCATGCACTGTCTTCGCTCGCTCTGGAGCCGGGATCGTGGGTTCGAATCCCACTCAGGGCATGGATTTTTGTGTGCGTTTTTCTGTGTTTGTCTACAGGTAGAGGCCTTGCGACGGGCTGATCACTCGCCCAAGGAGTCCTACAGAGTGTATAAGATCTAGTAAACCGAAGTGAAACGGAGAATTTCATGGAAGTAGGCCTAGGCCCAAAATTGGGGCTGTAGCGCCACAGAAAAAAAAATATATAAGAGGTCGAAAAAATATATACACACTTCAACATATAAGACATCTGCATAAATAATTCATTGATAATCAAGATTTTGTACACACAGAAAGAGATGGCTATGACACGTTTTGAAATAGAACAAGTATTCGAGGTTAGAATACTTCAATAACGTGAGAAGTGAGTAAAGGTATCCCACATTATCTAGACAGTCGACACACAGATGGCGGTGAGGTTGTAAGCCTCACTCACCGGCCGCACTTTACCCCAGGAAGATTCCTGTTACTCATTTCTGTTAGAGGCTGAGCCGACCTCAGGGCCATAGTGCGGCTGGAAGGATCAGATCAATTGAAAAGAATCCACCTCATCGGGATTCGATCCCGCGACCTTCCAGCTTGTGCCTCAATTCACTACGCTACCGCGTGCCCCCAACGTGAGGGGTATGTAATGAAATTGCCTGAAGATGGTCCTAAATATAGACCGAAATATATAGCATTTATTACATAAAACAAATGTAAGAATTTGGATTGTTTTATATTATTGTGTTGACGGTCAGAATACCACAAATCGTGACACGCAACAGGACGGACACAATAAAGATAAATATTCTAAGTGCCCACCGTTGTCTTGTAGACACTTGTGGTGCCCGAGCAGCCGTGACCAAGGCGTCCACTGGGATATCTGCAGACGGCTTTTCAACTTCTTTTCGTAATGCCTTCAGCGTTGCCTCATCAAACTAAATAATTTTGTTCATGAACTTCTCATTCCCGTGTGTCTTGTGCTGAAACCTCACGCAAAACTGCACTCTTCAGATAGGATCGTCTTTATTCACGGCGCCTCAAGTGTATCACGAACGAGTGTTGGAGGTCCCCCTGCAAAGTATTCGCACACATTTTCCAATTTACTTTACTACTTCGGCAAAGACAACCGTTCCGCTGCCTTTTAGCTTGACTGTCCTGCCATTCCACAAGATGGCTCTGGTACTCATGTAACTAAAATTCTTTTGAGATGGCGTCCACATTCATGTCTTCACTAGCCGTTGCTCTGTAGCCTTGGAAATATGCTTGTTTGTGAAGCCAATACTTACCCACGCTTGTTGTATGGCTGCTTCTTCAGCGTTCGTTGCCTAGCAACGGGTCTACATGCTATATTTAGCATAACTGGCATATATTACTCGTATACACGTATACTACAGCGTTAACTCAGATGGCTAGCTGAGAGAGTGACTTTTCGATTTCACGCGAATTCTATACGTCATATACAGAAATAAACATGCGAATTTCAAGTGGGGGGCGGTAAATATCTTCCTTTCATTTGTCTATTGCAGTAAGAGCTGAAATATCATCCAGTTTAGATACGTTGCATTTTATGAATGCAATGAACTCTTCTTTGTGAGACTTGTATGGACGTAATCTGCTTTGACACCGAACTTCGAACAAGGCTAGTCTCATACGTCTCATATTTAATCCTCAAATCCCCATACTGAGGTTTATGCTTTTGAACTCCCAGTCAAAACATTCCCCTTCTTTGTAGGTTGATAGAAGAGGTTTCAACTGTATCTTGCCTGGAAAGAAAGGAACAAAGAAAGTTCCTGTGACGTATGCAAAGGGGAGAAAATAGTGTGTACTGTAATAACCCGACTTAAAAGAAAATATCACACATAACAAGCCCGTAAAAACACGAAATGTCAAAACACGAAACATGTGCTCAGTTCTATCTTCCATACGCGTGAGTGCTTCTTCGCCATTAGGGTGTAAACAGAAGAAGGACAAGGCCGTTATTGTCAGGCTGTCAGTATCTTATTGTTCCCGTTCTGTTAACACTTCTCGGCTTCTGTAGACTTGATATGTTCCTATCAGCACACCAAAACACACCGACGCCATGGCAACTACATGGTCGCTGGTTGAATACCGGGATTAAAATTTCATGTGCTCCGCCACATCAAAGCCAACTTCCACCCTCTGGAAGAAGGGCACATTGTGGGTCGGGAACAGTGACTCCTCAGATTTTAAGAGGAGATTCAAGAATCTTGTCTGTGTTCTTTTCTCTGTCACATGAAGGGATTAAATTGCAGCCTTTGTATCCGGTATTCCCGACTCCTGTAACTATTTTTTTTTCACTTTTCTCAAGGGATGTGACTGACTCCACTTAATGCGTCAGCCACTATTTGGCCTATTGTACCAGCCCCGGATGATAGATGATGACTATGGGGCAGTCGGTGCAATATGAATTGGCAGGGGAAACCGAAGTACTCGGAGAAAACCTACTACAGTAAAACTTTGTCTACCATAAATCCCACATGACCTGACCCGGTCTCAAACCGGGGCTGCCGCATTGGGAAGCCGGCGAATAACCGCCTGAGCTATGGCATGGCCTAGCTAACATGTTTCTCTTTCAATGGCTCTTCCGCCCCATTCACGGCCCTAGTTCCTTAATCAGTTCTGTAATAAATTGTCCCTCACAAACGCTGGAGACAGTGTATTTCAGTACGCAGTAGCAACTGCACATATGATTTATAGCATTCCTCAACAATATATTGTGAAATGGAAAGACGTCATAGGAAGCTGTCGTGAGCTATTTTATAGTACGTTTCTATAATTTGCCTCAATGAATTATAGTTCGTTAGTTAATGCAGCTACTTCAAGCCCTACAGGTTATGTAGAATCTAATTACATGGATAAATAGGAATTTTGGAGGAAACAGTCGTAGCCTAGTTTAAGGCGCTACCCTATGGAGAAACTGAGGAAAGCCGTCAAAATCCTAAGTCAAGATAGGCGCTAATAACAGAAGGATTCGAATCGTGTTCTTCCAAATATGGATCCTGAGACTTGACGCAGCAGCAGAGTGCATTTTCGTATAAGCTGGACGACCGAAGAATCAAAGCTCGATTTCCGACAGGAGAAAAAGAGACAACCGAGCCACGTACACAACCGTGCAACGGACACCGGGGCTCTGTTCCTGGGGCTAAAGCGGAGGGGAACTTGATACTGACCAATTCTGCCTAGTGCCGAGTTTAAGAATGAGTAGAACTATAACTCCAGCCCCCTCACACGACTTCACTGTGTGGTACTTATGGCCTTCTTGCGCGTAATTTTCCGAACTGCCAGAACAGAGTTGTGACATATGAACAAAAACATTCTTATTGGTTAGGCCCGCCCCTTTGACGACATGAACCGATATTTTTTTAGTCACGAATTCTTAGGCCGTCAATCGCAGCTGGAAGTGAAAGTACGTTTACCATCTGTACTAACAAGTAAGATACAATTTCTTTATTAAAACCGTCACAAACAGTGGCAAGTTTGCCTCTGCTACATGTTTGGGCTACCAAAAGCTATCATCAGGCAAATGTAAATTCCCTACAGAATTCAGTCTTTGTTTACATTCCATACAGAACGGAAAATACTTTGTAAGATGAGGCACCGACTAAATAATTAACATTAATATTACTACATCTATATCACGAGCCTCCAAAACAATTTATTAAGAATACTCCAATTTGTCCGTGGGAACACAACAACATCGCAAAAACCAACGATTGACTCGATGATGTAAAGCATCACTTGAAGAATTTTAATCTTGTTTTATACTATAACTTTCGTTTTATATAGTCTAATTTATTGTACTTTTACGCCAAGTATTTTAATATAATGTAACGTGTTTCGTTACTGAAGACGCCGTAGAGATGGTTAATTGGTTTATTTAACAATCTTCAAATAACGGCTACAATTAATTATCACAATATTACGGGTTTCCACACTTTACAAACCCTACAACAAAATCTCTTAACACTATCTTCAAGAGTCTTCACGTATTAATAACGCGGGAGCTATACAAGTCTCCCTGAATTACACACTCCAGATATAACTGGTTATCACTGGTTATCGCACACGCGTCTGTAGCTCGTAACTTGCGAACTGAGAACTCGTTGGTAACGCACTGACTGGCTGACTCAGTACAACTCTCTGTGCATAGCCTTCGCTGCTCCTTATGTAGCCTTGATCTGACCATACAGAAAACGGCCACGTAATAAGCACCCTTGTTGCCTGGCGCTGTGTTGCTAGTAACGCTAGCGGTAGTAACCGCTGTTACTACCGTAACAATCCTGTTGCGTCACCGTTACGTTACCGTGCGGAGGAGGGAGGAGGGGGAGGGGAGCGCTGACTCACCCGCCGCGTCACTGCTGGTGGGGGGTGTTCTCCTTTGCCCAACATGTCACAATAATTAATATTATTGTATCCAATTTACTAGTACTGCAGTTCAGTGGTGTATATATGCTAGCCTTGTAGTTGCCTGATGATGGCATTTGGTAGCCGAAACATGTAGCAGAGCCAGACTTGGCACTGATCTTAATATAGTTATGTTATGACGGTTTTAATGAAGAAATTGCATCTTATAACCCAACAGGATGCATGAAATGAAAAAAAAACAAGTAAGATACTGTCACGTGTATCAGTGACTAAAGA